TTGTTTCCATATGTTCCAGTAACATCTTGGTCATTTGCCATACGAGCTCAAGTACATCATCACTTTGTTCTTGTTGTCGTGATCCATGTAATGCTTGTCGATAATACATTGCCACCAGATCACATTGTTGACATCCTTTCTCATCATGTTTCCGCTGTCTTCCAAATCCAAGTGCTATTGATACTAGATTTAACCAAGTTTCTTCTTGATGTGATGATCTATTGACTACTTGGCGACTTTTATTTTCCGGTTGAATGATGTTAGGGAATAATAAGGTAGATGGCATTGACGGATATATAACAATGGGTAATAGAGAGAGAAAAAAAAAAATAAAAGTAAAAGTAAAAAAAAAAAAAAAAAAAAAAAAAAAGGAAAGAGAAAAAAAAAAAAAACTTTTTTTTCTTGTTTTAAAAGACCTTCAAAAAAAAAAAAAAGAACTGTCCAAATTAGGTAATGGCTACTTGAAACTTTGATTTGCCTTAATCTAAAAATGTCACCACCGCCTTCAACAAGCACAACACCTGAGGTCGGGTGATCGGAGTCACTTCAAAGTATGAAGATATCATATCTTTTGTTTTTTTTTTTTTTTCTTTTGCGTTCAGACCACCTATTTCATTTATTGGTAGATCTTTTCCAAATGATTGTGAATATTCAATGGATCATCATATATTTTCAAAAAAAAAAAAAAGCAAATAAATAAGAAAACTATTATTTAATGATGATTTGATTTTTTGATTTTCTTTTTTTATTGTGTGTGTTTGCGTGAGAGAGAGAGAGAGAGAGAGACCATCAGAACAAGATCCGAAAGAAAGGGGAGCATCATATTCACTATCGTAGTTTCGGACCTACACAAACATGGTAGGACGAAAGGAAATGCGCCAATCAATCTCTTCGATTTAGTCTCGTGGGGCCATCTTTGACAATGAATGGTAAAATATAGGTTACTCATAGCTAAGGGTCTTTGATACAAAGTGTTACCATCTATGTTTATTATATATAAATATTGATGTATAGTACATAATCAGAAAAAGAAGATGTGCTTATTTTTTTTTATTTTCTTGGTTCTTTGATTCCCGGGTGTGATTGATTTTTTTTTTTTTCAATTTCCAATCCTTCTTTTTTCGAAATTGCACAATCTAGAACAAATATGGATATATATTCTAGTATGATGATTTCTTCTTTTTATCAAGAGAATTTATAATCACTCTTTTATTTTATTCATTGTGCACTTATCATGATCTTTTACTTTTCGCTACATCTTCTATTGATATTTCCATCAAGTCATCTTTTTTTTTTTTTTGTTTATACGTCAAGGGCTTGCTTTAATTGGAGTACTCATGTGACATCACGTTAAGCTCTTCGTACTACTTTAACCACGATATTTTCCTTTCGTGTTTCATTGAACTGTTGTCAACTATCATATATAAATTTCTATATTCCATTTCGTATTATCATCATCATTCAAACATCATTATCATTTATTATGTATTCAACATTTGTCATACTTCATACATCATTTTCGTCATGATCTATTGTCCTAAAATCATCATGATGATTTATTTCAATGAAAAAATAGATCTTATATCAGCAAAAAAAAAAAAAAATGAAGGTTACATGTTCATGCGTTTCAAGCTCCACTCCAAACGATGAACTTATATCACATTCTGTCTTACCGAGAACCCAAATAACGAATATAAAAAAAAAAAAAAAGAAAAGGAAAGAAAAAGAAAAACAAACATCATAATGTAAGATGTTGTCACCGCAGTTCATTGGTTTTAGAGATGTCAAAATAAGCTTTGCTGATGCATTTGTTGATCTATAGATGATCTAAATACTTTTTTTTTTTTTTTTTTTTTTTGGTTTTATCCTCAAAAGCATCAATCACCTTGGCTTCCGCGGAAGGTGGATCGCTCCCGCATCATCCATTTAATACTTGTTTCTAAATTGGATCTATGATGATATGTCTTGCCATGTTTGAATCATAGAAATCATATAAGCTTAGATGCTTTTTCGTTATTTTTATCATCATCATCATCATCAGCAGCAGCAGCAGCAGCATGGATTTCTGATTGAATTATCATGAAGTCATCATCATGGATTATCATCGTCGTTTTTAACGTCAACGTCAATATACACATCATCACTTTACAACACACACAATCAATCAATCAATAAATAAAAAAACAAAAAAAAAAAAGAGAGAGAGAGACGAGTATATTGAACACAAAACTTTATTTGAATTTGTATAAAATCATCATTTGAATAAAATAAAATACACCTTATATATATATTCTACTATTTTCTAAACTAAAGAGGGAAGGATGATGGTAATTCATTTAGCGTTACCCAGGAGCCACCACGAGGAAGTAGAACTGTATTAACTTTCAATATCTTTTTTTTTTTTTTTTTTGTTTACTAACCTTTTATATTTCCTTGTCAACCATACGACTTGATATCACCAAACATAGAGAACTACTATAGAATATATACTATAGAATATATATATAAAAAAGAGAATGGTTTTTAGTAACAACTACTATATATTGTATTCATTATATGATATTCTTTATACATTACCTTCCACTACCAGTAGTGCGAACAGATATTATGATTCACAGACTATTTGAATCCATTTGATATCTTGAGTGGGTTTATATTTGAAGGTCGGTTTAACCTGAAATCAACTTTGATATTTATGACTTACGGTTAAGGCAGGTTTGATCAAGAACTAACTCCAAGAGAAGATTCATAAAATATCAAATTGATTCAAGATCAAGTCAGTTCAAAAGTAAAGTTCAAGCAAGGTATCAAATAGATTCAATTATCTATTAAACCATCGAGAACTAAAAAAAAAAAAAAAAAAAAAAGAAATGAGAGAATGAGTAGATTATTCGTATACGATGTGGCAAAAATGAGATAAAGTACTTGCATAATTCTTGCTTTTTTTGCTTACAGCAACTACAAAAGAAGAGTAAAGAAGTAACACAATAAAGCATGACACCCATTACTCTTTTTTTTTTTTGTCTTACCTTTACTTGTTCCTTGTATATGTCTTGTTTATTCCCATCAACCAACCATAAAACATTGACAAAACAAAGAAGTGCTACAATCAGAGCTTCATATAGCACCGAGCACGTCTAGTATAAGAAGAGAAGGAATGATTGTATTTAAAAAAACGGATGATTTATGATGAATTTCATTGATAATATTACCTTTCCTTAGGATTCACCATCACCACCACCATCCTTCGTACACAGGCTGTTCTTGTTTTTGCCAGCAAAGGAAGTCTTCTATCATATCACTACTTTTTGGTAAACTCCTCTCAACCCGGGACGCTAATAAAAAAAAAAAGCGGTTATTTTAGTAACTATTCATTCTTATGCTTTGTTGTCATAGATATTACTTACGCAACATAAACTTACGATGATAAATTGTTAGTAAGGGTCACACTAAGTTTTCTTCCAAGATCTATATCATATAAATAGAATTAGATTAGTTTATTAATAAGGACATCCTTGTTTTCTTTTTTCTTTTCTTTTTTTTTTTTTTTACTCACCCATTCGAAGATGTAAACAGAGATTAAAAAAAAAAAAAAAGAAAGTACGAGTATACAATGTACTTGGTATATTCGCTCATTACTTACCAAACAACAAGGACCTCCAACAAGAGATGATGTGAATGAGGTGGTTATCAACGGAAAAGCATAATACAGGAACAACCTAAATAATTGAAGAGTGATAGTAAACTTTGTTTAAAAGTTGAGAAAAAAAGAAAGAAAGAAGAAAAAAAGTAAAAAATTCTTTGCTCTTAAGATCTTAATTTTTATGCGTTTCAAACTCCACGTGTCTTATAGTAGCAGCAGTTAGTAATATACAAATATCATTTCTTTACAAAGAGAAAAAAAGATTATTGATACAATGTCATGATGAGAAAAGGACATTAACTCTTCATGCAGTAGGACACATTCTAATATGTCAGGTTTGACTGGTCTGGAAATTCAGGCAAACCCGACGAGGGACAATTTTAATAATTCAGGTACAATAAAAGCAAATGGATGATGATGATGATGATGATGATGATGGTACTCTTAGAATCATGATGATTCTATGATGAATCCTAGCCTCTTTCATCATATGTTGCAAATGTAAGTTATCGCATGATGCGATTTTTAAAAAACTAGCCTATTGTTTCAATCACCTATTCATACAATGCGTATATGTAATACAGATGTTTGTCTTGACAAGATAGATGTCATGGTGAAGGACGATCATACATTGATGGATGCAAAAATAGGCTTTTTTTTTCATATGAAAGCGTGATTAAAGGAAGAACGCCCTATGATTGACCTACCAATTTTGTGCCCATAATTTTTTTAAAACTATTTAAAGATCTCTTCCTTTTTTTTTTTATGAATTCATAAATTATGTTTATTTATTTCTTTAATAATTCAACTTATATTATTTATTAGGCACATCCAAGACCTGAAGCACCTGCGATGTCACTACAGCAACCAGGTGAAGTACCTGAAGGACAACGATCACTTGTAGCAGGACCACAATTTATTCCTAACAGACCGACACCGACAGGAATGTCAATAAAACTTGCACAACACACTTCAATATTTGGACGGTCACATGTTTGAGCATAACAAAATGTTATGTAAGTAATAAAAATTCCTAATTGTAATTTCATTCAAAACAATCGATTATTTTTTTTAAATATTATAAATTCAATTTTAAGGAAGATGAAAAATTTATTTTCAGGCACCTTTTTATATAATTCATTTGAGTAGTAAGCGTTGTTACACACAAAACTTTGCAAATAAGCATCAGATACATTTGAATAAATAATCATCTGCATGAAATAAAGGCAAAACAGCATGCACAGTGGCGATTACGACTGTTAGAATGCGACGCAAATGTGTGAACCTCTGCTACTTGGTGACTACGTATTCAAATGATAATCATCTGCATGAAGATCAAGGCAAAACAGCATGTACAGTGGCGATCATCACTGTTAGAATGCGATGCAAACTTGTGAACTTCCGCTATTTGATGATCATTTATTCAAACGATAATCATCTGCATGAAAATAAAGGCAAAACAGCATGTACAGTGGTGATCATCACTGTTAGAATGCAATGTAAACTTGCGAACCCCCGCTACTTGATGATCATTTATTAATGTAAATATTGATATATCAATCGATAGGCAGAGCTTTTCAATGATATAAGCTTTATTTGATGCTTATTTGCAAAGTTTCATGATATTAAGTGAAAAGTACAGAACTCCGAAACGTTCTGGTAGCCGTGTTGCCCATGATCCCCCTTTTTTTTTTTTTTTTTTCCTTTTGCTTTTTCTTTTTTTTTTTTTTTTTTTTTTTTTTTTGACTAATGGGTCTTTGAACATTGTAAGGTACCATTATACATTACTTTACTAATCTACATTATATACTTAAATTCACTCTTTACATATTATACTTCTGTACTTGCTATATATACTTATTCTATACTTATTCTTTCTTTCTTTTTTTTTTCTTTCTCGTCTTAGTCTCTCATACTTGAACTAAATCTATTTTGGTTTCTTTTTATTCTTTCTATGGACATATAGCAGATAGATATATGAAGGAGTATACAATAGGATTAACTTATATGCAAGGTAAGAAAAATATCTCTCCTATCCAACTCTTTATCATGGGAATTAGTTTATTTAATAGTTTAGTCTTTTAGTATATAGTGTTTTTATATTCACATTTAAATAAAATCATATTTTTATTATTGTTTATTATATTGTCATTTCACTATTATCATACCATCATTTATCTATTTGTCCTCGATCATCATCATTATCAAAAGGAGTAATAAGAAAGAATGGTATGATTATCATTTTATTTTCACTAAAAAATAAAAAAAATAATGAAAAAAAAAACTGTTGTAAAAACAAAATCCGTATACACATCAGTAACTGCTATTTCTCTTCATACATTACGTCTATCATTTTTAAGAATAGATATTCTCTTATTACCAGCCATCATCATCATCATCTGTGATAATAATAAGTTGTACATGTATACTGTTGGTTGTTCGTCTTTTCTCTTAACGAAAATAATAATGTCGTAGATGATACAGTAGAGCATATCATGCACTTCATTACATGATACACTCAAAGAAACATTTTTATTAAATCATCACAACAATAAATAGTAACAATAGGTACATACTCAAAACATCATAGCAGGATAATTTAGATAATCAAACATTTTATTTAAATAAAAGGGTATTTTTATAAGAGAAAAGAAAAGTAACTAACTACCAACAATATAAAGAATATATACAATACCGGTGATACTAATGACAATGATAATAATAATAATACTAATGAAGACAGAGATGCCAATCAAGTAGAAAAACATAATGAGACCATCAAACATGGAAGAGACCAATCAAACAAGAAGAAACAAAAAAAAAAAAAAAAAAAAAGACCAACCACGTAGAAAAGAGATCTCAAAGAAAACACCATGGCAATGAGAGACAGATGAAGGAAAGGGAAAGAAGGAGAGTCCAACCAAGTAAAAAAAGAGACGAAGAGACCACACGAACATGAGAGAGAGAGAGACACCATACCATTATAAAAAATAACCAACCAAGTAGGAAGGAAAAAAAAAAAAAGACCTTCAAAAGTACCTGTACACACAAGTTGACTTGTATCCCACAGTCCAACAGTAAAAAAAGGATAAAAAAAATAAAACGATTAGTTTCTTAATCTATGTCTTACCTCTATACTTGTCATTCCATCCAGTTCCAAATCATTAGAAGAGCCATAACCAGCTAAAGCTAGAGAAAATAAAAAAAAAAAAAGGAAAGAAAGGTGAGAAAAATGAAAACTCAGTGAGATAGATAAAGTAAGAAAGGAAAACTCAGTTAGATAGATAAAATAAGAAATGAATTTATAAGTTGGCTGAATTAAAGTATCTCTCAAAGCAATCACGTATCTTTTCTTTTCTTTTCTTTTCAATAATAAAATAAAAGAAGGAATATATTAGTATCATTACTTTTTCTATCTATTATTCTTTTTAGACTTATCATTTTGCACCATTGACAGCTTTGTTTGACTAAAGGTTAATATAAAGTAATGATGATTATTCGAGATTTGATTACATAAACAACAATCATTGTATCTACAGATAAAATCAACCAAAAAACAATACTCCATCACTGTTATTCTTATATATATATATCCATTGTTACCTCGCGTATATCATCTGACAGCGATACCGTATCAATCCCCATACAATAGAAGGAAGGATCTAAAAAAAAAAAGAGAGAGAAAGAAGCAAGTGATTGTATGTAATATTGATTGATCATCTTTTTCTTTCCTGACAACTTACTGATTTGATTGTATAGACGACAATCATGATACCTACAAATTAAAAAAAAAAAAAAAACAGATGAGTAGCAATCTGTTACTCCTTTTTTTTTTATTTACATGTTACCTTGTCAACAACAATGAATGTTTTATATCATATCATAATTGAATGTCATCATCATCATGAGTTCGGAGAGAAAGAAGGGTTGCCACTAGCAGTACATCTGACATTTTAAGACCATCAAGGAAGGTAGCTTGTTCCGGTTTTAATAGATACGCTCCACTGACCAGTTATGATATTATCCCCTAACTCTTTCCAAACCATACCGCAAATGGCAGGACTTCCAAGGACTCCAGCATGAAACAACACGGCCTATAGGCGATATACTGTATTCCCTGCATGTTGCCTTCTAGTCTCCACCTACTTGAGCACTAGATCCAGCCTCTAGATTCATAAATGATCCTAGACACCAGTCATCCTCGACCAAGTCCAATGCCTGTTAGATAAACAAAGATCATCCCGCCATGATCTTTGAATATCACCAAAAGCTAAGTATAAAGTGATGATGACCATTCGACAATTGATTGTATAGACGACAATCATGACACCTACAAATCAAAAAAAAAAAAAAATCAAATGAGTAGCAATCTGGTACTCTTTTTTTTTCTTTTATACATGTTACCTTGTCAACAACAATGGATGTTTTGCATCATCTTGATTGTATAGACGACAATTGTGCTATCTACAAATAGAATCAGTAAAACGAGGACTAATTCATCACCGTTATTCTCTTTTTTTTTTTTTAATGTATGGATTACCTTAATTACATGATTCACCAGTGTTGATGTATCAATCATAAAATTCAAACTAAATGAAGAACCAAGGACACTTTTCAAATAGTATAGGCGAAACCGAAGCTATTGATTTTTGTTGAAAGGAATGGATAGTACCACAAGACGAAGGGATAATAGTCCAAGGCCATGGAAGAAAACAATAAGTGGAAGAAATCATACCAAGTGGGAGGGACAAAAAAAAAAAAAAGACAAGGACCAACCACGTAGAAAAGAGATCTCGAAGAAAACACCATGACAATGAGAGACGGACAAGAGAAAGGGAAAAAAAGAGAGAGAGACCAACCAAGTAAAAAAGAGAAGAAAAGACCACACAAACTCGAGAGATAACAACAAGAGAGTGAGAGACACACCATACCAGTAGAGAAATGATCTTGAAGAGACCAACATCATAGGAGAGAATAACCAACCAAGTAGAAAGAAAAAAAAAGATCTTTAAAAGTACTTGTAACACAGGTTGGCTTGCATTTGGTGCTCCGTCCAGGGTCTAACGGTAAAAAAGATAAAAAAAAAAAAAAAGAAAAACGATTAGTTCCTTCATCTATGTCTTACCTCCATTCTTGTCATTCCATCCAGTTCCAAACCAATAGAGGAGCCATAACCAGCTAAAGCTAGAGAAAATATAAAAAAAAGAAGGAAAGAAAGACAAAAATAAAACAAGAAAGGAAAAAGAAAAGAAAAGATACGTGATTGCTTTGAAAGATACCTCAATTCAGCCAACTCATAAACTCATTTCAATAAAGAAGATTTGACATTTATTATTATTTTTTTAGACTTATCTTTTTACACCATTGGTTTGTTTTGTATCACCGTTTCGTTTGACCAAAACCGAGAAGAAAAGAGATCTTGCAATTGGAAAAACCAGAAGAGTCATGAATTAATTATAAAACAAGTAAGTAAGTAAGTAATTATATTTTATACTGTCCTTTTATTATTTTATTTTATTTATTTTTTAAATTGACAATAATAGACTAAGACTCCATTACTGTCATTGTATTTTATATGTTACCTGTCATTAGCCAATATGGAGAAGCGAACAAAGTGCGGAGGATGAATTAAAAAAAGTGTGGAGAAATGGAAAGAGAAAGAAAGACAAGAAATATGTGGGGAAACGAAATAAATAATAAAAAAAATGAAAGCAAAAGTCCGAATAGATAAAAGTGACGTACCAAAAGTAGCAAAATAAAGAGAAAGAATATATTGTAATGTGATAATGAAAGTACAATTAAAAAAAGCAGATTAGTTTTTTGACATTGAAAGCAAAATGTCAAAAGCTAACCTACTTTTCCTTTCACTGTTGATAATACATTTAGATCGAGTCGCAAATACAAATATATAGCAAAAAAGAAAAAAAAAACGACAAAATATATGAAAAAGAGAATTAATATGATTCCATGTTGTTTCTTGTTTTTCATATTATTGTTAGAAAGTCTTTAAACTCTGATTCTCTATTGCTTGGATTCAGCTGTCATTTAATTTATTTAAGGAACGAGGTACAGAAACGCATTGATGACTGTTCGAGAGCTAATAACTAATAATATTAAAGTAATAATTATGATTTTATTAAAAAAAAAGAATGTAAATATATATAATTGATATACTAAGTATCATTTTAAACTACAAGTAAAAAGAATCACTAACGTTTCATAAGCCAGAATAAAAGAAAAACATAAAGATGATACTTCTAAATTGATTGTATAATCCAATCCAGTTGAATCCTATAATATATCCTGTTCATCTATGTTGTCCACACCTGAGAATAGCACGTATTCATTTTGTTTCAATCTGTATTGTATGTACATCTATCTATTCCGCTGATGATGATGTATAGCCACTTCGCTTAATATCCTATTGATACTATATTTGAATGATCAAGTCTTCGTGTATCTAGATTTCTTTCTTTCTTTCAGACATATATTCAGTGATGATGATCGTCAAGGATACCAATTATGAAGTATGAGAAGAAGAAAGAACGGTAATTCTAGATGGATGGATGTTATAGTAAAAAGATCAAGGCCAGAAGAACGTATACAATAAAAAAAAGGGAAGGAGGTTAGAAAGAAAAAAGAGGAAAAGCATTTGTTTTTGAAGCTTATCTTTAATAAGAGTAAATATTTGTAAAAACCACATAGATAAAATGAGTAGGATATAGTAACGAAGTTGGAATGTATAAAAGAAAGAAAGAAAGAAAGAAAGAAAGAAAGAGAGCAAGAAAGAAAAAAGAAAAAGAACTATTTAATATGTCTACCTGATCGGAGCCAGTTTAAAAAATCCTGCAAATCAAATCTACCAATCATAAGGAATCACATAGGTTTAAGTTGTTTTTTTCCTTTGAATTGATTTTTTTTATTATTGATTATAGTAAAATCATGATGATGATGATGATATATTAGAATAAACACTTTCAACTGGATGTCTTGATCACTTATTTGATATTCCTTGTATTGATTGAACTTTGAATAACTATGATAGTAAAGAAAGATTACCAAAGAAAAAGGAATATCAAGCATATATATTAAATCAATTTGAACAACTTTTTATTAAACTGATGGAACATCAATCACATTCATATTGAATAATAAATCACATTATATCATAAATTGATTACCTGATAATAACAAAATAATAAAGTAATGAACATAAATTATGAAAAGCGGTAGTTGAACATCCGAAAAAGGAAAGGCTCTATTCATGAGATTATATAAAATAGACCTCACTTTTTTTTATTTTTCTCACTTTCTTCTTCTTCTTCTTTATCACTACTTTTATAAACTTCTTCTTTTTTTTATTTTGTATAAAAAGTAAGTAAAGATATAATAAAAGGAACTTTATATACTTGTTAACTAAACTCTCTCTTTTTATCTTTTTTTTATCTTGTTATAGAAATATCATCTCTTGACGCTTCTTTGCAAACTGAATCCTCAATATATATTCAATAGATCATGAAACTATAACAATGGGACTATAACTATCAAAGGTACTACTATATATCCAAAAGAAAAAAAAGAAATAGTAAAATAGTAGGTGATTTAGGTATGGCTGCGATTCTCATTCTTTCCTTTTTTTTTTTTTTCTCAGTAGTATTCCAGTATAATGTGTCAATGGAAAGGCTATTGAATATATCTATCAATTATGGTTATTAAACACAAACAAAACAAAATCAAGGATATTATATTTGAAGGTAAGACCTAAAATACGATAATGAAGGATTTGTCAATCATTAATATCATCTTTTCTTTTCTTTTCTTTTCTTTTTTTTTTTTGTTGACGGGTAGTGTCACAAATACAAGTTTATCTGTTTATATGTTACTCTATTCTCTATAAAGGCATCCTATCTTATCAATATGGTTTGAATTCTCATCAGTTAGTTATCCTCGTGGAAATTGATATCGTTATCATTACTATCGTTGTCACCCATCAAATACTATTGGTATAAGTTCCAACTACGGTGGAATATATATATTATACACATCAACCATTAAACATTTATTTATTAAATAGATAAGCTGTCATGATACATCGTCCATCAGTCTTATTATGTTACTATTATTCAATTGTCATAATCAATTTCAAGTATGGTCAATTACCGTACTCAAAGTAAGATATAAAAAAAAAATGAAAAAGAATATTTAAAATATGATTCTCATTCTCTTTTTCTTCTTTCTACTTTCTTTTTTTATTGATTTGATGCATCATCGTCCTATATATACGGATCACAGAACCAAACGAAAATTGGATACATAAAAAGGATGAATAACTAACGTAACTATATTATTAACAACAACTGGAAAGGGAAATCAATTTGTGTGTAAAATAGATGACATTTTTTCTATAGTTTCTTTTATTGATAGTTTTAGTCTTACTATATTCTTTTTATATTCTTCTTCTTATTCTTTAATAAAGTTTATCTTTATATCATCATCATCTTATTATTATTATTATTATTTATTCATCTATTCAACTTTATTGAAATCATAAGTGTTTTCCATAAATGGTATAACTTCAAAGTCCGTTCTCAATGTGGGGTGTGTTGGATCAAGATTCTCAAAAAAAGTCTGGAGGTCGAGATCAAAAAAAAAAGTTGGTCAAGATCAAAAAAAAAAAAAAAAAAAAAAAAATCTGGGAGATTGAAAAAAAAAAAAATTGTTGGAGACAATGGAAAAAGTTGGACCAAAGCTCTGACAAAAGAAAAAATTTGGCGCACTCTTACTTTTTTTTTTTTCCTTTTACTTTTTTTTACTTTTGCCTTTTTTTATTTTTACTTCTCTTTTTTTAACCAATGACTCTTTTGAACATTGTAAGTTACCATTATACATTACTTTATTAATCTATATTATATATTTAAAAGTCACTCTTTATATATAATATACTTACTGTATACTTATTCTTTCTTTTCTTCTTCTTGGTTTCTCATATTATGAACTAACCTATTTTTTTTTTTTTTTTTTTACTCTTTTTGTGAACATATAGTAGATAGATATATGAAGGAATATACAATAGAATTAACTGGACATATAACGAGTATTCTATTGGACAAAAGAATAGCAAATTAGGGAATAGTATCATCTCTTATTTTTGAGTTCATTTCCCTTATCATGGAAATCAGTTTATTCAGTACTTTATTCTTTTACTTGGTGTTTTATATTATATTACATTCTCATTTAAATAAAGACATACTTTTATTATTACTTAATATTGTCATTCAGTATTATCACACCTTCATTTATCTATAATAATAAATAATAATAGTAAAACTATCTGTTTGACTAGGATGATAAGAGCACAGGAGTAAGAAAGGTAAACCAGATATATTCTATGAAGAATGCCAATCCTTGAGGACTTCAAATATGCACATGCTGATGGTTGTCATAGGGACACCCCATATGACTCTTGCCAGAGTTCCTTTCATAAAAGCCCCATAACCTTCCGTCCTATACATTTGAAGTATGATGGCTCCTATTTCAATGAATGACTGTTGATGATTGTATTGATGATCCACTTGCCAGCGTGTCTTGATCACGTCCAAAGGATTACAGAAAGCTACACTGATAGTACTCGCCATGACCGAGCAGAATAAGTAGGTAGACAAACCAGAAACCAGGTGTAATTTGAGTTGTTCGTATACCATAAAATAGATCATGGTTTGCGGTACAAACACCACCAAGGTAATACCGTATCCTTTGTAAAACCCTTGCCAACCATCTTGTACGTATATCGTCTGCATCAAAGAGAGCGTCCCTTTATCATAATTGTCATTCATTGTTTCGCTATAGGGTAGTTGATTGTAGTTGTCGTTTATGGGATCGTTTGTTTCATTGGTATCGTATACAAGAGTTTGATAATAGGGTTTGGATCGTTGTACTTGTAGGCGACTTTTAATGACTTCCATAGGAGTAAAAAAGATACCAGCTAAGACTTCAGCCATACAGCCAGAAACAAGGTGAGTCCAGGGACTGTTGATATTCCAACCCAATGATATAGATAAGTATTGTTTGGTGGTTTGATAAGTGGAAAGATAAATAGATAGTGCAGGTACGACAAACCATAAAGTGACAGTAAGACCATCATATAAAGATAAAAAAGAAGAAGTAAAGAGAATATTCTTGATAGTCGTTGTTTGTGTTGAGGTTTGAATGCGGGTTTTAATGGTATCAACTAAAATAAATGATTAATCATTAGAGAGGAACACTATAATATCAATAATAAACTTACTTGGATGAGTAAATAGTCTTGCTATAAGAGCAGCCACACTCGACGCAAAAAGGTAATAAAGATCGATAGTCATATATTAACAAAAAAAAAAAAAAAAAAAAAAAAAAAAGAAAGAAAAAGAAATGAAACAAAACCAAAAAATCGGAGCCCTTTTTTTTTTTTTTTTATGTAGTTAGTCAGTACCCACTCCCTCTTTCTTTTTTTTTTTTTTTTTTTTTTTTTTTTTTTTTTTGCTCTGTTTTGCAAGAAATCATGTCGAAAAAATCAACTTCTAATTCCAAATCAAGTCAAGGATCATCTAATAAAGTAACGCGTGAACGATTTTCAAAACACCAAGTGCAAAAGCTTGAAGAAAGTTATGCACGGAGTCCCAATCTTGATCCTCTGGAAAAGGAAAAGCTTGCAAAAGAATTAGGTGTAGAAAGAAGGAGAATTCAAATCTGGTTCCAAAATCGAAGATCAAAGGAAAAGAAGAAGATGAAGAAACAATTAGCCTCTCGATCTACCATTATTTTGCCGTCCCAACATACAGAAAATACGCCCACACTATTACCATCCACGGAACAAAGTACGGTTACTTCACATGGTCTCCTTGTACCGACTTTTATCTATCAACCTGACAACGTTATGTTATCTCGTCTTTATATACCATCCCATACCGTCCCTCCTTCCTCAGATACTTATCCACCAAATTCTTATCTTCTTTCGCATGAGGCACCATCTCCACAACATCCTCGTTTTACCTATCTTCCTCTACATTTTTATCTCCCTCCTCCCTCCTCCCCGTCTTTTTCTTCTTCTACATCAATGAATCCTTAGGTTATTGAAAGAAAATTTTACTTTATCTCTTTTTTTTTTTTTTTTATTATAATTATTATTATAATTTGGCATAATAAAATATACATGTATATGTAATTCCTTATTGAATTCTTCATATTCATGCGTTTATGCACACTACGATTGTTTTAATCTCGCTTTAACCAATCATCTTTTCTACATTCATTGTTCATCTCTATCCTAGAGAATCTCATACCCAGATTATTTCATTTATTATATCATCAAAAATCATTTATTATAAAACTATTATCATAAATGACAGTCATTCAATTAACTTCATTATATTATTAGACTCATATTGGATCATCATCAATTTATATATATATATATATATATATATCAATCCATCATAAAAAGTCATCATCAGTCACATTTATTATAAAAGTCTAATCCAATAATAAAAAAAAAGTACAAATAGTAATAATAATAAAAGGATAAGGGGTATCAAACTATAGAATAACCGAAGGAATAAATTGAGACAAAAGGCAAAATAATAGCCAAATACATCGACTGTCTATCCAAAAAAGAAAAAAAAATTTCTAGTAAGCTTCTACAGTTGGTTGATCGTTGGCCACTGTGAAAGTTCCTTGTTGTTGATCCACCACATCCTCTGTCAATAATACAATCGATTCCATTTCTTGCTCTTGTTGTTGCTCCTGTTGTTCTTCATCCTCTACATCCACCTCCAATGTTTCAGGAAGAGAGTAACCGATCTGATGATGTCGTTCTTCATTAGGTAAGATAATATCCGCATGTTGATTGACGAATTCTGTAATGTCCCTGGAAAGATTGGCCCTCATTTCACGTAATAATTTGCCCACAGCCGGATTCCGAATGGCCAAAAATAAAGGTTTGATCGATCTAAAAAAAAAAAAAAAAAATGAATACTTTTCACCTTTCTATAATCTTTTTTTTTTCTTTTTTTTTTTTTTTTTTTGTTTTTTTTTGTTTTTTTACTTGTAAATATCCAAACCGGTATCGCCAAGACGCATCAAAAAGTAATGAAGAATAGGTTGAATAATCCAAAGAGCACATGTCCGAATCATTTTGTTACGAAGTGAAAGTGCTGGTCGACGTTTAAACAGGTAGATAAAGTAAATCAAACTATAAAATCCATAAAGAGCAGGTGCTGCAAAAGCTGCCACAATGATTTTCCATGTTGCCAAGACATCCTTGGCCTTGATTTTCACCATAGATCCCGCCAATGCCTCTAAACAAATCCATAAATCATATCTTTAGAGCTTTATTCTAACTTTTTTTTTCCGTATCTTACCACTTTGTTTTTTCTTGCTGATATAACGAATAAGTAGAGTCAAAGGTATATTGGAGATGAATCTATGGTATATAAAAAAAGATATGAGTATATGATCAAGAAAGTATCTATATATTATCACTTTACGCAGGAGCACCCAAACCAGCCAACATTGCTAATTTAATCAAACGACGGATTAATAAGGTAGATGCACGGAAAGGAGTAATATCCAACTTTTCAACTTGATGATCACGAATACCAAAGAAAGCCAGGGTATCGTTATAAATCTTGACCTTGCGAGAGAGTTCTTTTTGTCTTGGGTCATCCTTCAATTTCGCCCACCCTACACCAAAATGTTGATTCATCTTGACGACTTGCTGAATGGTTGGCTTTGTCTGTTTGGCTGGTGCATATAACCTACGAGCAGCTTGGATCACCTATATTACAAATAAAATATATATATATATATATATATAAAAAGAACGATCTACAATTTTATTTCAATTTTTTTTTTTTTTTTTTTTTTTTTTACCATGAGAGTATCATAATCAGGAGCACTTGTTGTCACTAGTTTGAAAGCCACATCACTTTGATCCATCAATTTAGTGACGGCTTGACGCTTATACTTGTCACCTTTTTTGAATAATTCAACATCTTCACGATCGATAGATAGAGGTTGACCAAAGGACACAACAACACGGGATCTAAATCTATCAGGATGAAAATAGTTCAGACCTATTTAAGAGAGAGAGAGAGAGAGAGATCATTAGATTAAAATCAATCCCATTCTTCATCATTTTATTTTCCTACCAACTGGGACAATCTTTATATCCATTTCAGGGTATTCAGCCATAGCTCCTAATGCCATCACTGCGAATCCAGCTAAAAATCAAATCATAAAAAAAAAAAAATTAGTAAAAATTCAATGATATTAATATATAGATATACCTTTGAGAGGTAACATTTCAGGACGATCATGACTACCACCTTCGGGAAAAATGGTAATACATTCATTGTTATTCAAATAATGATTGACTTCAGTATAAACAGGAGTTTGATCCACATGAGGAGCAATCTTGAAAGGAATACCTAATTGTTTGATAGTGTGTATTTCTTGATCATCATCTCCTATAGCTATAGCATGAGTCACTTCACATTCAGTATCAGAAATGACATTAGCGACATGACATTTATAGTTCCGACCAAAGATAATAAAATCCCTAGGATGAAGTTCTTGAGTAAACTTTGTATTTTGACCAATAATAAGGAACGGTTGTGTATCAGGATCATATTTGACTGTGCCTGTCCCCTTATTCACCACATCTTGAGGTCTAACCACAGGAACTATAAAATAATAATGAGTTATAAAATATATATTATTGAATGACCTACTTACTTGCATTAAGTATTTTTCCAATATGACCAATTAAAGGACGATTGTAAGAAGCAGCAGCCATAAGAGCATAAGAAGGTCGAGGATTAACACTATAAAAAACAACTCCATCTACAAATTGACTATTATGAGGACCCACTAGAAAGATGACTGGACCATCTTTTGGAATATGATGAGAGCCACTTGTTTTGATTTCTCGAAAGAAGATATGAGTAATGACCCTAAATGTAGCACTAAATATATGATACGTAACAGTAGAAGGTGATAGATCGTTCATACTAAAAAAAAAGTGGAGAAAAGAAGGGGAAAAAAAAATCTCGGAAGATCAAATGTTTATATATAAAAAAAAGAAATAAAAGATTGTCCATTGAAGCACCGCCTCATGTGAAGCCTAAAAGTTGAAAGGCATGTGATTATGAATTGGCTCTCTCTGTCAATAAGAAAAAGAATTCATGCGTTGCGTTCAAAATGAAACATTAAGAAACGGAAGTCGAAATAACATAAGAAATCACCATAATGATAAAAAAAAAAAAAAAAAAAAAAAAAAGACTTCCCACCCATGATGTTTTTTTTTTTGTTCTCTTTCCCTTTTTCATACTTTTTTTTTTCTTATGATATGAATCTTTCTTATGGCTTCAAATAAATCGAAAACCATTATGGATTTTACAAAGTTTACTATGGAAGATGGAAGAGTGGTAAGTACTACGAGTAGAGTTTGTACAGGTAAGTCATACAAAAAAAAAAAAAAACATTTATTTCTAAAATGATAATTGATTTTTATTATTATTAGATGTGAAACCATTAGCCTTTCATACAGCCACAGATGATGAATTTTGGTGTAAAGATCATCCAGATTTACCAAACATGGAATTCATTAAACAACACTTTATTCAAGAAGGACGATTAAGTGAAAAACAAACATTAAAAGTATTACATGCAGCACACAAGATTTTACATAATGAGCCGAATCTATTACGTATCCCAGCACCATTGACGATATGTGGAGATATACATGGACAATATTATGATTTGATGAAATTATTTGAAGTTGGTGGCGATCCTGTTCATACCAATTATCTTTTCTTGGGTGATTATGTTGACCGTGGTTATTTTTCCATTGAATGTTTTTTGTATCTATGTGCTTACAAGATGTGGTATCCTGATACATTTTACTTATTACGTGGTAATCATGAATGTCGTCATTTGACGGATTACTTTACTTTCAAATTGGAATGTGAAAAAAAGTATTCTAGAAAAGTATACGATGCTGTCATGGAATGCTTTGATGCTCTTCCATTAGCTGCTGTTGTAAATAATCAATTCCTTTGTGTACATGGTGGATTGTCTCCCGATCTGAAAACGTTACGTGATATTGAAAAGGTAAATTGTCATATCATTTTTTTTTATTATTATTTTTATACTCAATAACAAGGATCTTATTATTTTCATTATTATTACATATATTAGATCAATCGTTTCAGAGAAATTCCAACAAACGGGTTGATGTGTGATTTATTATGGGCTGATCCTTATGAAGATTTTGATAGTGACAGTAATCCAAAGTTCGAGCATAATCATGTACGTGGATGTTCTTACTTTTTTAGGTAAATGCTCAAAAAAAAAAATTGTTTTTCCGCTTTTTTTTTCTTAACTTTTTTTTTTTTTTTTTTTTTTTTTTATAAGTTATCAAGCAGCATGTGTTTTTCTGGAAAAGAACAATCTTTTATCCGTCATACGAGCACATGAAGCACAAGCCAATGGTTATCGGATGTATCGCAAGAGCAAGGACACAGGTTTCCCAGCACTCATGACCATCTTCTCAGCACCGAATTATATTGATGTGTATGGCAACAAGGCCGCCGTATTACGATATGATAAAAGTGTTCTCAATGTTCGACAATTCAATGCAAGTCCTCATCCTTATTGGCTACCCAACTTTATGAATGTCTTCAACTGGAGTTTACCATTTGTTGGAGAAAAGATCACGTCCATGCTCTTGGCTATTCTCAATATTTGTTCGCGTGAAGAACTTCAAGCTACCACTCCTGAAACACCAACAACACCTACTGATACCGATCAACGACGACAAATCATTAAGAACAAGATATTGGCCATTGGGAAAATGTCTCGAGCTTTTTCTGTCTTGAGAGAAAATGCGGAATTGGTTATGGAATTGAAAAGTAAATGTGATACTGGCAAATTACCAGCTGGCACCTTGGAATTAGGTGCTGAAGGTATACGTAGAGGTAATAAAAAAAAAAAAAAAATACTTATCAGAATAAGCACGAGTAATTAAGACTGATTTTTTTTTTTTTTTTGGGATAATATAGCCATCACTTCCTTCGAAGAAGCTCGACGATCAGATATCGAAAATGAACGATTACCACCTACAACACGTGAAATGGATGAAGCTATGACGACGGAAATCACTTCGAGTAAGTTACGTGATGCTGCTCAACAGGATGATTCAGCATTGGAGAAAATAGCAGATGTCATCATCGCTCCACCGAAAAATGATCATCAATCCTCAAAATCAAGTACTGGGTTCTCATTGTAGGTTTTATATGTATATGTGGACCCCATATAGTTA